TCTAGGGGGGCATGTAATAGACTAACTTTCTAGAGGTGCAACAAACTGGAATTTTCAGACCAGAACCTGGTAATAAAAAAATTTGTTAGGTCGAAACAACAATTTTTTTTTCTACCTTTTAAAAAAAAAAAAAAATGTTTACTTTACCGCCGGGGGCTCTGGGGAAATATCAAGGGTCTAAGCTGACCCCTGATATTTCCCTTTTGAAACTGAGGACCCTGTGTCCTCAATATCTTTTTTAATCTCTTTTTCTGCAGCCCCTGTTATGAATGAGCAGGAAGCCTCTATACTGAGTGTATCTTACCATTCATAAACTGTGGAGATAGTATGCGTTACTATGTCTACAATCATGAATGAACAGGAAGTGATGTAGAGCACTTCCTGTTCATTCTTAAATGGAGACTCCGTAAACATACTATGTCCTCAATTATTTACAAGCACTCAACGATTAGCTGATCGTTGAGTGCATGTAACCTCTCTCCATCCTCACTCCTTTGTCTGTCACAGGAGGTTGAGCAGCGGGTGCGGCCTTCTGTGACAGCTTTCGCCTTCCTGAACCTCTTTCCATCCTGATTTGTTGCCAAGTGGGGCAGTGCGGGAGTAGAGCTTGGCCTCTTGTGACACCGACCGCTGACCACGCTTTTTTTGGTGGGGTTGTATTTTGTGGGGGGTTTTCTTCTTGTTAAATAAGTCTTTTCAAGCATTGTTTGTTTCTCAACTACCCCAAACAGGTCATGAATTCCCTTTACAGTGTGTAGGTGGTTTAATCCCTATTGCTGGCTTTGTGCTGTCCCATACTGCCATTGGGCATTGCTAGGAAACCGATTTAACCACCTATGTTGACAACCAGAGTAACAGATAAGGGTTGGTGTTGAATTATCATACCGGTAAGGGTGACTGTAGAAATAATAGAACAAGAATCCCTTACATTGGATGTCTTAAAGGTTCAGTCCCAGAGCTAATTTCTGCCAGTCTTTTAAGTCATTAGTGATATTCACACAGTCCGATTATAGACATAGGTAGACAGTCTTTCTTCTGTCAGTAGTTTCCCCACATGTGGGCACCATAGGAGGCCAGTAAAAACTATTGGCTTTTGACTTTGTACAATTTAATTACCGAGCAACTTTAAGAAAAATCAGAATAATGTGTGTTTTTGTTTTTTTAATGTTTACTGTGAAGCATAATGATTTTGTGTGCCGTTGAGCCAGTGACTCAGTCTCTTCATCTTCTCCCAGAACTGTTGTGTTGTTAAGGCTCAGTGAGCCTTTTTTTTTTTTTTTTTTGTCGTCTCTTGCTTTTCTATGTATCAGTTCTCATCCAATCACTATGTTTCCTGGAGAGATACAGTCAATCTGTCTGGTTTGTTGACTGCTGTATATTTTCCCCGTGGTCATTGCTGCCTGAAAACTCTCATTCTGTATTCAAAATGTGTTAGAGATTTTCAGAGAAATTTCAGCGAATAAGATATTTAAGAAACACCTAAAGGAAAAACTATAGACCAACTTAAAAGCAGGGGTAGCACTAAAATTCTGTTCCATTCAGAGTCAGTCACTCCATTCTAGGAATAAGTGTCTCTTATGACACTCAAAGAAAACACTCAAAGAAAAGGTGTCGGGTGTTAAGTGCTTTTACTTGGCTTCTGAGATTTGCCCATTTGTACTTCAGTGGAAATTCCTATTTTGCAGTGAGATCTCCAAATTGTAAATACTACCATTGGTATAAAACCAGCACTTCAAACTCTCACAAGCAAGTTTGTGTGCCCAATTCCTTCACTATCGATAATATGAAATCACCTGCACTCCATACAGCGTACAAACCTTGAATGAGAGGTTGGTGCTTGAAGTGACAACACGGATGGCGCCGTATAAGATACAGTCCATAATAGAAGTCACCAGCATTCGATATGTGCAAGAAGTAAAGCACTTTTTTTTCGTCACATGCGTCAAACAGCCAACGTTTCTGGGCCACGCAGGGTCCCTTCTGGGCGACATAGTGACATAGGTTGGCTGTTAGATGCATGTGACGATTTAATAAAAAGTGCTTTACTTCTTGCACATATCGAGTGCTGTTGACTTCTATTGTGGACAATTCCTTCACTACACTCTAATGACTGACAGCCCATGTAGGTGTGAATGTTCCCATTGCACCCCCGGAGCTAAGATTTTTCTTTTGGTTTGGACCTATATAGCTATGACTGTAGTACTTCTTATGATCATATATGGATCTTAGCTGCGGAGGTTACTGCAACAAGTTACAAGTCACTCTATTCAAGTTGTATAGTAACATTTTTAATCTTCTGTTGTAGTTTCCACACTCCACAGAATCAAAAGTCAATAATGAGAATGTACTATTTGTTTCACTTAAAGGATGTAATATCTCGTAATGCTACTTCACATTACAAAGGTACAAGTCAATAGTTTGAGTAAAGAATATCAGCTCTTATAAAAAAATATCAGCTCTTCTAAACAAAAAGATAATTGCTGTTCGCCGTGTATACGTAGTGTCAGGTTGACTGGTGATGCATTCATGTAATGCACAGGATCCTTGCTCTGAGGCTTAAGCCGAGGAGGAGGAAGGAGCGCTGTGACTGTGGCGGACCGGCGGGGGCGGAGCTACCCTCCC